TGAGTGGGTGAATGAGTGGGTGAGTGAGTGGGTGAGTGGTTGAGTGAGTGGGTGGGTGGGTGAGTGAGTGGGTGAGTGAGCGAGTGGGTGGGTAAGTGGGTGGGTGAGTGGGTGGGTGGGTGAGTGGTGAGTGAGTGGGTGAGTGAGTGGGTGGGTGGGTGGGTGAGTGAGTGAGTGGGTGGGTGAGTGGGTGGGTGAGTGGGTGGGTGGGTGGGGGAGTGGGTGAGTGAGCGAGTGAGTGGGTGGGTGAGTGAGTGAGTGGGTGGGTGGGTGAGTGAGTGGGTGGGTGAGTGGGTGGGTGAGTGAGTGGGTGCGTGGGTGAGTGGGTGGGTGAGTGGGTGAGTGAGTGAGTGGGTGGGTGAGTAGGTGGGTGGGTGAGTGAGTGGGTGGGTGGGTAGGTGAGTGGGTGAGTGAGTGAGTGGGTGGGTGAGTGAGTGGGTGAGTGGGTGGGTGAGTGAGTGAGTGGGTGGGTGGGTGGGTGAGTGAGTGGGTGGGTAGGTGAGTGGGTGGGTGGGTAGGTGAGTGGGTGAGTGAGTGGGTGGGTGAGTGAGTGGGTGGGTAAGTGGGTGGGTGGGTGAGTGGTGAGTGGGTGGGTGAGTGGGTGGGTGAGTGGGTGAGTGGGTGGGTGGGTAGGTGAGTGGGTGGGTGGGTAGGTGAGTGGGTGAGTGAGTGGGTGGGTGAGTGAGTGGGTGGGTAAGTGGGTGGGTGGGTGAGTGGGTGGGTGAGTGGGTGGGTGAGTGGGTGGGTGAGTGGGTGAGTGGGTGGGTGGGTAGGTGAGTGGGTGGGTGGGTAGGTGAGTGGGTGAGTGAGTGGGTGGGTGAGTGAGTGGGTGGGTAAGTGGGTGGGTGGGTGAGTGGTGAGTGGGTGGGTGAGTGGGTGGGTGAGTGGGTGGGTGAGTGGGTGAGTGGGTGAGTGGGTGGGTGAGTGAGTGGGTGAGTGAGTGGGTGAGTGAGTTGGTGAGTGAGTGAGTGGGTGGGTGAGTGAGTGGGTGAGTGGGTGGGTGGGGGAGTGGGTGAGTGGGTGGGTGAGTGAGTGGGTGGGTGGGTGAGTGGGTGGGTGAGTGGGTGGGTGGGTGAGTGAGTGAGTGGGTGAGTGAGTGAGTGAGTGGGTGAGTGGGTGAATGACTGGGTGAGTGAGTGGGTGAGTGGGTGAGTGAGTGGGTGGGTGGGTGAGTGAGTGGGTGAGTGAGTGAGTGAGTGGGTGAGTGGTTGAATGAGTGGGTGAGTGAGTGGGTGAGTGAGTGGGTGGGTGGGTGAGTGAGTGGGTGAGTGAGCGAGTGGGTGGGTGGGTAAGTGGGTGGGTGAGTGGGTGGGTGGGTGAGTGGTGAGTGAGTGGGTGAGTGAACGAGTGAGTGGGTGGGTGGGTGGGTGAGTGAGTGAGTGGGTGGGTGAGTGGGTGGGTGAGTGGGTGGGTGGGTGGGGGAGTGGGTGAGTGAGCGAGTGAGTGGGTGGGTGAGTGAGTGAGTGGGTGGGTGGGTGGGTGAGTGAGTGGGTGGGTGAGTGGGTGGGTAAGTGAGTGGGTGGGTGAGTGAGTGAGTGAGTGGGTGGGTGGGTGAGTGAGTGGGTGGGTGGGTGAGTGAGTGAGTGGGTGGGTGGGTAAGTGGGTGGGTGAGTGGGTGGGTGGGTGAGTGGTGAGTGAGTGGGTGAGTGAACGAGTGAGTGGGTGGGTAAGTGAGTGGGTGGGTGGGTGGGTGAGCGAGTGGTTGAGTGGGTGAGTGGGTGGGTGGGTGAGTGAGTGGGTGGGTGGGTGAGTGAGTGAGTGGGTGGGTGAGTGTGTGGGTGAGTGGGTGGGTGGGGGAGTGGGTGAGTGAGCGAGTGAGTGGGTGTATGAGTGGGTGAGTGAGTGGGTGGGTGAGTGGGTGGGTGAGTGGGTGAGTGGGTGGGTGAGTGGGTGAGTGAGTGGGTGGGTGGGGGAGTGGGTGGGTGAGTGAGTGGGTGGGTGAATGGGTGGGTGAATGGATGAGTGGGTCGGTGGGTGGGTGAGTGGGTGGGTGGGTGGGTGAGTGAGTGAGTGGGTGATTGAGTGAGTGAGTGGGTGAGTGGGTGGGTGGGTGAGTGAGTGAGTGGGTGAGTGGGTGGATGAGTGGGTGAGTGAGTGGGTGTGTGAGTGAGTGGGTGAGTGAGTGAGTCAGTGGGTGGGTGGGTGAGTGAGTCAGTGGGTGGGTGTGTCAGCGGGTGGGTCAGTGAGTGAGTAGGTTGGTGGTTGAGTGAGTGGGTGAGTGGGTGAGTGAGTGCGTGAGTTGGTGAGTGAGTGAGTGAGTGCGTGAGTTGGTGAGTGAGTGAGTGGGTGGGTGAGTGAGTGAGAAAGTGGATGGGTGATTGAGTTGGTGAGTGAGTGAGTGGGGAAGTGAGTGATTGCGTGAGTGAGTTATTGAGTGAGTGGGTGGGTGAGTGAGTGAGTCAGTGAGTGGGTCATTGAGTTAGTGAGTGAGTGGGTGGGTGGGTGGGTGAGTGAGTTAGTGAGTGAGTGATTGAGCGGGTCGCTGGCTGGGTGAGTGAGTGGGTGAGTGAGTGGGTGCGTGAGTGAGTGAGCCAGTGAGTGAGTGGGTGAGTGAGTGGGTGGGTGGGTGAGTGACTGAGTGGGTGGTTGAGTGAGTGGGTGGGTGAGTGAGTGGCTGGGTGAGTGGGTGGGTGGGTGAGTCACCGGGTGGCCGGGTGAGTGAGTGGGTAGGTCAGTGAGGAGTGGGCGAGCGAGTGAGTGGGTGCGTTAGTCAGTACATTGGTGGGTGAGTGAGTGAGTGATTGAGCGGGTGGCTGGCTGGGTGAGTCAGTGGGTGAGTCAGTGAGTGGGTGGGTGGGTGGGTGAGTCACCGGATGGCCGGGTGAGTGAGTGGCTGGGTGAGTGAGTGAGTGGGTGAGTGAGTAGGTGGGTGAGTGGGTATTTGGGTGAGTGAGTGAGTGGGTGAGTGACTGAGTGGGTGGTTGAGTGAGTGGGTTTCGTGAGTGAGTGACTGGGTGAGTGAGTGGGTGGGTGAGTGGGTGGGTCGGTGAGTGAGTGAGTGGGTGAGTGACTGAGTGGGTGGTTGAGTGAGTGGGTTGGGTGAGTGAGTGGCTGGGTGAGTTTGTGAGTGGGTGGGTGGGTGAGTCACCGGGTGGCCGGGTGAGTGAGTGGGTAGGTCAGTGAGGAGTGGGTGAGCGAGTGAGTGGGTGCGTGAGTCAGTACATTGGTGGGTAAGTGAGTGAGTGATTGAGCGGGTGGCTGGCTGGGTGGGTGAGTGGGTGAGTCAGTGAGTGGGTGGGTGGGTGAGTCACCGGGTGGCCGGGTGAGTGAGTGGGTAGGTCAGTGAGTGAGTGGGTGGGTGAGTGAGTGGGTGGGTGAGTGAGTGGCTGGGTGAGTGAGTGAGTGGGTGGGTGAGTGACTGAGTGGGTGGTTGAGTGAGTGGGTGGGTGAGTGAGTGGCTGGGTGAGTGGGTGGGTGGGTGAGTCACCGGGTGGCCGGGTGAGTGAGTGGGTAGGTCAGTGATGAGTGGGCGAGCGAGTGAGTGGGTGCGTGAGTCAGTACATTGGTGGGTGAGTGACTGAGTGAGTGGGTGGGTGGGTGAGTGAGTGGGTAGGTCAGTGATGAGTGGGCGAGCGAGTGAGTGCGTGGGTGAGTCAGTACATTGGTGGGTGAGTGAGTGAGTGATTGAGCGGGTGGCTGGCTGGGTGAGTCAGTGGGTGAGTCAGTGAGTGGGTGGGTGAGTCACCGGGTGGCCGGGTGAGTGAGTGGGTAGGTCAGTGAGGAGTGGGCGAGCGAGTGAGTGGGTGAGTCAGTACATTGGTGGGTGAGTGAGTGAGTGATTGAGCGGGTTGCTGGCTGGGTGAGTGAGTGGGTGAGTCAGTGAGTGGGTGGGTGGGTGAGTCACCGGGTGGCCGGGTGAGTGAGTGGGTAGGTCAGTGATGAGTGGGCGAGCGAGTGAGGGGGTGGGTGAGTCAATACATTGGTGGGTGAGTGAGTGAGTGGGTGAGCGAGTGAGTGGGTGGGTGAGTGACTGAGTGGGTGTTTGAGTGAGTGGGAGGGTGAGTGATTGGCTGGGTGAGTGGGTGGGTGGGTGAGTCATCGGGTGGCCGGGTGAGTGAGTGGGTAGGTCAGTGATGAGTGGGTGAGCGAGTGAGTGGGTGGGTGAGTCATTACATTGGTGGGTGAGTGAGTGAGTGATTGAGCGGGTGGCTGGCTGGGTGAGTGAGTGGGTGAGTCAGTGAGTGAGTGGGTGGGTGAGTGACTGAGTGGGTGGTTGAGTGAGTGAGTGATTGAGCGGGTGGCTGGCTGGGTGAGTCATTGTATGCGTGGGTGGTTTAGGCGGTTGTCAACATTGGGATTTATTTAGAACGCGACACCACGTGACACCTCCCGCCCTATATAGCCCCGGCACCGGTCCGTCACCAACCCACCGCGTCTCACCACCACCAGCACCACCAGCACCACCGCCAAGTTATCCTAGCGACGTCGTGGGGCCACGTCCATCCGCCGACGTAGCAACAACGGAGTTCGGATAAGTCCAGCTGAGGGTGAAGCACCAAAGCCGCTTGGATAAATCGATCCGAGAGGAAGGAGCAACGGGCGGAGGGGGCTCGGATACATCTCTCTGCGCACGCTCGCACGTGGAGAACGACGCAGAGAGAGAGAGAGACTGAGAGACTGAGAGAGAGAGACAGAGAGAGAGACAGAGAGAGAGAGACTGAGAGAGAGAGACTGAAAGAGAGACTGAGAGACAGAGACTGAGACTGAGGATTCTTGCCGGAACGGAGATAGCCCACTGCGGCCAGCCGTCAGTTTTTAAATTTTCTTTTTTTTCTTTTTTAAAACAACCAGAAGTTGAAAGAGCCCCGGCGCCGGTCACGTTTGCTCGTCCGTCGCTGCAATCGAACTAGCGAGCGAACGACCGAACGAACGAACGAGCGAGCGAACGAGCAAGCGAGCGAGCGGTCAAACGACCGAATGAGCGAACGAACGAACGAGCGAACGAACTAGCGAGCGAACGACTGAACGAGCGAACGACTGAACGAACGAGCGGTCGAACGACCGAACGAACGACCGAGCGGTCGAACGACCGAGCGAACGACCGAACGAGCGAACGAACGAACGACCGAGCGAGCGGCCATGAGCTACCACTTCCAGGCTCCCTCCACCGTCTCGTCATACCGCCGGACGTTCGGCGGCTCGGGCGTCATGGCCCAGCCAAAGTCGTTCTCCTCCTCGCGGTTCTCCTCCGAGAAGATCCACTCTAGCTCCAGCCGCGTGCTCAGCTCGGGCGCCCCCAGGGCCTCCTCCTTGTCCTCCTCGTCGGCCGCGGCCGCCGCCGCCGCCTACCTCTCGTCCGGCGGCCTCGGCGGCGGCCTCGGAGGCCTCGGCGGCGGCCTCGGCGGCGGCGGCGGCTACTCGCTGTCGTCTGCCGGCGTCGGGGCCGGGGCCACCGGCGTCGGGGCCGGCGTCGGGGCCACCGGCGTCGGGGCCGGCGTCGGGGCCCGCTTCAGGTACGCCCAGCCGCAGCCGCGGGCCTACGAGACGCTGGACTTCGAGCTGGCGGACGCGGCGAACGCGGAGTGCGCGAAGGCCCGGCGGAGCGAGAAGGCCGAGATGCAGCAGCTGAACGACCGCTTTGCCAGCTACATCGACAAGGTGCGCTCGCTCGAGACGCAGAACCGGGCGCTCGCCGCCGAGGTGAACCGCGCCAAGGGGCAAGGCCCCGCGCGGGTCGCCGACCTCTACGAGGAGGAGATCAGGGAGCTGCGGCTGCAGGTGGACCGCCTGGCGGGCGAGAGGGCCCGGGCCGACGTCGACCGGGACAACCTCGCCGACGAGCTCGCCAAGCTGCGGCAGAGGTGGGGAAGGGGGTGGTGTTGTGGTGGGTGGGTGGTGGTGGTGGTTGTGCAGTGGTGGTGGTGGTGCAGTGGTGGTAGTGGTGGAGGTGGTGCTGGAGGTGGTGGTGGTGGTGGTGTAGTGGTAGTGGTGCAGTGGTGGTGGAGGTGGCGGTGGTGGTAGTGGTGGTGGAGGTGGTGGTGATGGTGGTTGTGGCAGTGGCGGTGGTGGTGCAGTGGTGGTAGTGGTGGTGGTGGTGGGGTTGGTGGAGGTGGTGGTGATGGCGGTGGTGGCGGTGGTGGCGGTGGTGGCGGTGGTGGCGATGGTGGTGCAGTGGTGGCGGTGGTGCAGTGGTGGTGGTGGTGGTGCTGGAGGTGGTGCAGTGGTGGTGGAGGTGGTAGTGGTGGTGGTGCAGTGGTGGTGGTAGTGGTGGAGGTGGAGGTGGTGGTGGTGGAGGTGCAGTGGAGGTGGTGGTGGTGATGGCGGTGGTGGTGGAGGTGGTGGTGGTGGTCATGGTGGTGGTGGTGGTCATGGCGGTGGTGGTGGTGGTAGTGCAGTGGTGGTGGTGGTGGTGATGGCGGTGGTGGTGGTGGTGGTCATGGCGGTGGTGGTGGTGCTGGTGGTAGTGGTTATGCTGGTGGTGGTGGTGGCGGTGAGGGTTATGTAGGGGTGGTTTGTGGTGATGGTGGAGAAGGAGAGGAGCGGTGGGTGTAGTGGTTAGCGCTACGCTGCGCTACGAACCCGGTGACCCGAGTTCGATTCCCGCTCACCACCACCAACACCACCAGTGATGATTATCTGAACCGGTCATGGGTCTCCCCTAGGTCGACTCAGCCTCAACTGAGTAGCTGGTGTAGCGGTGGGCAGTGAACATCGCCACTGGGGAGACAAAGGCGGCCGGGCGTGGTACTGGCCACCCACCCCCTCTGTGTGTGCCACTGTGCCGGTAGCCTTCATAGGTTGCTGCTGCTACTCGCTACTAACAGCACTTGCCCCTGCAGCCTGTTAGAGGCTACACGGGGGATCTTTGTCTGTGTCTGTGTGTGAGGTGCTAGCTAGCAGCACTTGCCCCTGTAGTCTGTTAGAGGCTACACGGGGGATCTTTGTATGTGCCTGTGTGTGAGGTGCTAGCTAGCAGCACTTGCCCCTACAGTCTGTTAGAGGCTACACGGGGGACCTTTGTCTGTGTGTGAGGTGCTAGCTAACAGCACTTGCCCCTGCAGCCTGTTAAAGGCTACACGGGGGATCTTTGTCTGTGTCTGTGTGTGAGGTGCTAGCTAACAACACTTGCCCCCTACAGCTTGTTAGAGGCTACACGGGGGATCTTTGTCTGTGTCTGTGTGTGAGGTGCTAGCTAACAGCACTTGCCCCTGCAGCCTGTTAAAGGCTACACGGGGGATCTTTGTCTGTGTCTGTGTGTGAGGTGCTAGCTAACAACACTTGCCCCCTACAGCTTGTTAGAGGCTACACGGGGGATCTTTGTCTGTGTCTGTGTGTGAGGTGCTAGCTAACAGCACTTGCCCCTGCAGCCTGTTAAAGGCTACACGGGGGATCTTTGTCTGTGTCTGTGTGTGAGGTGCTAGCTAACAGCACTTGCCCCTGCAGCCTGTTAGAGGCTACACGGGGGATCTTTGTCTGTGTCTGTGTGCGAGGTGCTAGCTAACAGCACTTGCCCCTGCAGTCTGTTAGAGGCTACACGGGGGATCTTTGTCTGTGTCTGTGTGTGAGGTGCTAGCTAACAGCACTTGCCCCTGCAGCCTGTTAGAGGCTACACGGGGGATCTTTGTCTGTGTCTGTGTGTGAGGTGCTAGCTAACAGCACTTGCCCCTGCAGTCTGTTAGAGGCTACACGGGGGATCTTTGTCTTTTGTACTGGTGGAGGGTTTCGCAGAGGTTAGCAAAGTGATCGCGCTGGAAATTCCACATTCCCATGACAGTGACCATGCTGCTGCCGCTGCTGCTTCCAGGTTGTGATTAGACGCCTGATCAATGGGGTCATTGATCAGCGGGGTCATTGATCAGTGGGGTCGTTGATCAGCGGGGTCATTGGTCAATGGGTTCATTGATCAGTGGGTTCATTGATCAGTGAGATCATTGGTCAGTGGGGTCATTGATCAGTGAGGGCATTGATCAGTGGGATCGTTGATCAGCAGGGTCATTGGTCAGTGGGTTCATTGATCAGTGGGTTCATTGATCAGTGAGGTCATTGGACAGTGGGATCATTGATCAGTGAGGGCATTGATCAGTGGGTTCATTGATCAGTTGGGTCGTTGATCAGTGGGGTCGTTGAGTAGTGAGGTCATTAATCAGTGGGGTCATTGATCAATTGAGTAATTGATCAGTGGGGTCGTTGATCAGTGGGGTCGTTGATCTGTGAGGTCATTGATCAGTGGGGTCATTGATCAGTGGGGTCATTGATCAGTGAGGTAATTGATCAGCAGGGTCATTGATCTGTGGGGTCGTTGATCAGTGGGGTCATTGATCAATGGGGTCATTGATCAATGGGGTCATTGATCAGTGGGGTCATTGATCATTGGGGTCGTTGATCAGTGGGGTCATTGATCAGCGGGTCATTGATCAGTGGGATCGCTGATCAGCGGGGTCATTGGTCAGTGGGTTCATTGATCAGTGGGTTCATTGATCAGTGAGGTCCTTGGACAGTGGGGTCATTGATCAGTGAGGGCATTGATCAGTGGGGTCGTTGATCAGTGGGTTCATTGATCAGTGGGTTCATTGATCAGTGGGTTCATTGATCAGTGAGGTCATTAATCAGTGGGGTCATTGATCAATTGAATAATTGATCAGTGGTGTCGTTGATCAGTGGGGTCGTTGATCAGTGGGGTCGTTGATCAGTGGGTTCCTTGATCAGTGAGGTCATTGGTCAGTGGGGTCATTGATCAGTGAGGGCATTGATCAGTGGGGTCAATGATCAGTGGGGTAATTGATCAGTGGGGTCATTGATCAGTGGGGTCGTTGATCATTGGGGTCGTTGATCAATGGGTCATTGATCAGGGGGTCATTGATCAATGAGGTCATTGATCAGTCATGGGGACCTCACAGGGACAAGGAAGGGGTGGTGGTGGTGGAGGTGGTGGTGGTGGTGGTGGTGGAGGTGGTGGAGGTGGTGGTGGTGGTAGTGGTGGTGGTGGAGGTGGTGGTTTTGGTGGTAGTGGTGGTGGAGGTGGTGGTAGTGGTGGTGGTGGTGGTGGAGGTGGTGGTGGTGGTGGTGGTGGAGGTGGTGGATGTGGTTGTGGTGGTGGTGGTGGAGGTGGTGGTGGAGGTGGTGGAGGTGGTGGAGGTGGTGGTGTTGGTGGTGGTGGTGGTGGTGGAGGTGGTGGTGGAGGTGGTGGAGGTGGTGGTGTTGGTGGTGGAGGTGGTGGTTTTGGTGGTGGTAGTGGTGGTGGTGGTGGTGGTTTTGGTGGTGGTGGTGGTAGTGGTGGTGGTGGAGGTGGTGGTAGTGGTGGTGGAGGTGGTGGTGATCATGGAGGGGTTACCTGTGACACACCTGTTACACACCTGTGACACACCTGTGACACACCTGTGACACACCTGTTACACACCTATTACACACCTGTGACACACCTGTTACACACCTGTGACACACCTGTGACACACCTGTTACACACCTGTGACACACCTGTGACACACCTGTTACACACCTGTTACACACCTGTGACACACCTGTGACACTCCTGTTACACACGTGTGACACACCTGTTACACACCTGTGACACACCTGTTACACACCTGTGACACACCTGTGACACACCTGTGACACACCTGTGACACACCAGTTACACACCTGTGACACACCTGTGACACACCAGTTACACACCTGTGACACACCTGTGACACACCTGTGACACACCTGTGACACACCTGTGACACTCCTGTTACACACCTGTGACACACCTGTGACACACCTGTTACACACCTGTGACACACCTGTTACACACCTGTGACACACCTGTGACACACCTGTGACACACCTGTTACACACCTGTGACACACCTGTTACACACCTGTGACACACCTGTGACACACCTGTTACACACCTGTGACACACCTGTTACACACCTGTGACACACCTGTGACACACCTGTTACACACCTGTGACACACCTGTGACACACCTGTGACACACCTGTGAGACACCTGTGACACACCTGTTACACACCTGTGACACACCTGTGACACACCTGTGACACACCTGTGACACACCTGTTACACACCTGTGACACACCTGTGACACAGCTGTGACACACCTGTGACACACCTGTTACACACCTGTGAGACACCTGTTACACACCTGTGACACACCTGTGACACACTTGTGACACACCTGTGACACACCTGTGACACACCTGTGACACACCTGTTACACACCTGTGACACACCTGTGACACACCTGTGACACACCTGTGACACACCTGTGAGACACCTGTGACACACCTGTGACACACCTATTACACACCTATTACACACCTGTGACACACCTGTGACACACCTGTTACACACCTGTGACACACCTGTGACACACCTGTGACACACCTGTTACACACCTGTGACACACCTGTGACACACCTGTTACACACCTGTTACACACCTGTGACACACCTGTTACACACCTGTTACACACCTGTTACACACCTGTGACACACCTGTGACACACCTGTGAGACACCTGTGACACACCTGTGACACACCTGTTACACACCTGTGAAACACCTGTTACACACCTGTGACACACCTGTGACACACCTGTGACACACCTGTTACACACCTGTGAAACACCTGTTACACACCTGTGACACACCTGTTACACACCTGTGACACACCTGTGACACACCTGTTACACACCTGTGACACACCTGTGACACACCTGTGACACACCTGTTACACACCTGTGACACACCTGTGACACACCTGTGACACACCTATGAGACACCTGTTACACACCTGTGACACACCTGTTACACACCTGTTACACACCTGTGACACACATGTTACACACCTGTTACACACCTGTGAGACACCTGTGACACACCTGTGACACACCTGTTACACACCTGTGACACACCTGTGACACACCTGTGAGACACCAGTGACACACCTGTGACACACCTGTGACACACCTGTTACACACCTGTGACACACCTGTGACACACCTGTGAGACACCTGTTACACACCTGTGACACACCTGTGACACACCTGTGACACACCTGTGACACACCTGTGACACACCTGTGACACACCTGTGACACACCTGTGACACACCTGTGAGACACCTGTTACACACCTGTGACACACCTGTGACACACCAGTGACACACCTGTGACACACCTGTGACACACCTGTTACACACCTGTTACACACCTGTGACACACCTGTGACACACCTGTTACACACCTGTGACACACCTGTGACACACCTGTTACACACCTGTGACACACCTGTGACACACCTGTGACACACCTGTTACACACCTGTGAAACACCTGTTACACACCTGTGACACACCTGTGACACACCTGTGAGACACCTGTTACACACCTGTGACACACCTGTGACACACCTGTGACACACCTGTGACACACCTGTGACACACCTGTGCAGGATGCAGGATGAGATTCAGCTGAAGGTGGACGCTGAGAAAAGTCTCGCGGGATTCCGACAGGTGACACCACAACCACCACAACCACAACCACAACCACCACCACAACCACCACAACCACCACCACAACCACCACAACCACCACCACCACAACCACCACCACAACCACCACCACAACCACCACCACAACCACCACAACAACCACAACCAAAACCACCACCACAACCACCACCACAACCACCACAACCACCACAACCACTACCACCACAACCACAACCACCAACACCACCACAACCACAACCACCACCACAACCACCACAACCACCACAACCACCACCACAACCACCACAACCACCACAACCACCACCACAACCACCACAACCACCACCACAACCACAACCACCACCACAACCACAACCACCACCACAACCACAACCACCACCACAACCACAACCACCACCACAACCACAACCACCACCACAACCACCACAACCACCACAACCACCACCAACACCACAACCACCACAACCACCACAACCACCACCAACACCACAACCACCACAACCACCACAACAACCACCACAACAACCACCACCAACACCACAACCACCACCATCACCACCACCACAACCACCGCAACCAAAAGCACAACCACCAACACCACAACGACCACAACCACTACCACAACCAACACCACCGCAACCACCACCACCACCACAACCACCACCACAACCACCACCACAACCACCACCACCACCACCACAACCACCACAACCACCACCACAACCACCACAACCACAACCACCGCAACCACCACCACCACAACCACCACCACAACCACCACCACCACCACAACCACCACAACCACCACCACCACCACAACCACAACCACCGCAACCACCACCACCACAACCACCACCACAACCACCACCACAACCACCACCACCACCACAACCACCACAACCACAACCACCACAACCACAACCACCACCACCACCACAACCATCACAACCACCACCACAACTACCACAACCACCACAACCACTAACACCACAATCACCACCACAACCACCACCACCACCAAAACCACAACCACCACCACCCCATCCAACACTACCACTACAACCACCACAACCACCACCACAACCACCACAACCACCACAACAACCACCACAACAACCACCACAACCACCACCACCACAACCACCACAACCACAACCACCACCACCACAACCATCACAACCACCACCACAACTACCACAACCACCACAACCACCACCACCACCACCACAATCACCACAACCACCACAACCACAACCACCAAAACCATCACAACCACCACAACCATCACAACCACCACCACAACCACCACAACCACCAACACCACCAAAACCACCACCACCACCAAAACCACCACCACAACCACCACCACCGCAACCACCACAACCACCACCACAACCACCACCAAAACCACCTCCACAACCACCACCACAACCACCACAACCACCACAACCAAAACCACCACCACAACCACAACCACCACCACCACACCAACCACCACAACCACCACAACCACCACCACCACAACCACCACAACCACCACCACAACCACCACAACCACCACACCACCACCACCACAACGACAACCACCACAACCACCACAGCCACCACAACCACCACAACCATCACAACCACCACAACCACTACCACAACCACAACCATCACAACCACCACCACAACCACCACAACCACCACAACCACTACCACCACCACCACAACCACCACCACCACAACCACCACAATCACCACAACCACCACCACAACCACCACAACCACCACACCACCACCACCACAACGACAACCACCACAACCACCACAACGACAACCACCACAACCACCACAGCCACCACAACCACAACCACCACAACCATCACAACCACCACAACCACTACCACAACCATCACAACCACCACCACAACCACCACAACCACCACAACCACTACCACCACCACCACAACCACCACCACCACCACAACCACCACAACCACCACCACAACCACCACAACCACCACACCACCACCACCACAACGACAACCACCACAACCACCACAGCCACCACAACCACAACCACCACAACCATCACAACCACTACAACCACTACCACAACCACAACCATCACAACCACCACCACAACCACCACAACCACCACAACCACTACCACCACCACCACAACCACCACCACCACAACCACCACAATCACCACAACCACCACCACCACCACAACCACCACCATCACCACCACCACAACCACCACAACCACCACAACCACCACCACAACCTCAACCACAACCACCACAACCACCACAACCACCACCACAACCACCACAACCACAACCACAACCACCACCACAACCACCACAACCACCACCACAACCACTACCACCACCACAACCACCACCACCACAACCACCACAACCACCACAACCACCACCACAACCACAACCACCACCACCACAACCACAACCACCACAACCACCACAACCACCACAACCACCACCACAACCATCACAACCACCACCACAACCACCACAACCACCACAACCACTACCACAACCACCCTAACCACAACCACCACCACCACAACCACCACCACAACCACAACCACCACCACAACCACCACAACCACCACAACCAAAAGCACAACCACCACCACCACCACAACTACCACAACCACTACCACAACCAACACCACCGCAACCACCACAACCACCACCACAACCACCACAACCACCACAACCACCATCCCCACCACCTTCATCACCACCACCACAACCACCACCACAACCACCACAACCACCACCCCCACAACCACCACCACAACCACCACCACCACAACTACAACCACCACAACCACCACCACAACCACCACAACCACCACCACCACAACCACCACCACAACCACCACAACCACAACCACCACTACCACCACCACCACAACCACCACAACCACCACCAACTGCACACTACCACCGCCTTCACCCTAACCACCACCACCACCACAACTACCACCAGTACCACTACCACCACTACCACCACTGCCACTACCACCACAACTACCAGCACCACCTTCACCCCCACCACCACTACCACCACCACGACGACTAGTGGTAGTAGTGGTTGTGGTAGTGGTAGTAGTGGTAATGGTGGTAGTGGAAGTGGTGGTAGTGGTAGTGGTGTTAGTGGTGGTTGTGGTGGTGGGGGTGAAGGTGGTGCTGGTACTTGTGGTAGTAGTGGCAGTGGTGGTAGTGGTGGTAGTTGTGGTGGTGATAGTGGTCCTAGTGATGGAGATGGTAGTGGTGGTAATGGTAGTGGTGGTAGTGGTATTAGTGGTAATGGTGGTGGTGGTGGTGATGGTAGTGGCGGTAGTGGTAAAGGTGGTAGTGGTGGTAGTGGTAAGGGTGGTAGTGATGGTGGTAGTGGTGGTGGTAGTAGTGGTGGTGGTAGTGGTGGTAGTGGTGGTAGTGGTGGTAGTGGTGGTGGTAGTGGTGGTAGTGGTAAGGGTGGTAGTGGTGGTGGTGGTAGTCGTGGTAGTGGTGGTGGTAGTGGTGGTAGTGGTAAGGGTGGTAGTGGTGGTGGTGGTAGTCGTGGTAGTGGTGGTAGTGGTAAGGGTGGTAGTGATAGTGGTGGTAGTGGTGGTAGTGGTGGTAATGGTGGTAGTGGTGGTGATGGTAGTGGTAGTGGTGGTGGTAGTGGTGGTGGTGGTAGTGGTGGTAGTGGTGGTAGTGGTAAGGGTGGTAGTGGTGGTGATGGTGGTAGTGGTAGTCGTGGTGGTGGTAGTGGTGGTAGTGGTAAGGGTGGTAGTGGTGGTGGTAGTGGTGGTAGTGGTGTTGGTGTCATGCTCCCCGTCTCACCTTTCACCACCACCACCACCACCGCCACTCCCTCTCAAATCTCCCCCGTGTCCCCCACTCCCAACAAAAATTGTTCGTAGGTCAAACGGATCCAAGGTCGAAACGTCTGGGGAACAGCTGCCAAATGGCACCCAGTCTGAAAATAAACCACAGACTGACTCACACAGAGAGACACAGGCTCACTCACACAGAGAGACACAGACTCACTCACACAGAGAGACACAGACTCACTCACACAGAGAGACACAGACTCACTCACACAGAGAGACACAGACTCACTCACACAGAGAGAGACACAGACTCACTCACACAGAGAGACACAGACTCACTCACACAGAGAGACACACAGACTCACTCACACAGAGAGACACAGACTCACTCACACAGAGAGACACAGAATCACTCACACAGAGATACACACAGACTCACTCACACAGAGAGACACAGACTGACTCACACAGAGAGACACAGACTCACTCACACAGAGAGACACAGACTCACTCACACAGCGAGACACAGACTCACTCACACAGAGAGACACAGACTCACTCACACAGAGATACACACAGACTCACTCACACAGAGAGACACAGACTCACTCACACAGAGAGACACAGACTCACTCACACACAGAGACATAAAGACTCACTCACACAGAGAGACACAGACTCACTCACACAGAGAGACACAGACTCACTCACACAGAGAGACACAGACTCACTCACACAGAGAGACACAGAATCACTCACACAGAGATACACACAGACTCGCTCACACAGAGAGACACAGACTCACTCACACAGAGAGACACAGACTCACTCACACAGAGAGACACACTCACACAGAGAGACACACAGAATCACTCACACAGAGAAACACAGACTCACTCACACAGAGAGACACAGACTCACTCACACAGAGAGACACAGACTCACTCACACAGAGAGACACAGACTCACTCACACAGAGAGACACAGACTCACTCACACAGAGAGACACAGACTCACTCACACAGAGACACAGACTCACACACACAGAGAGACACAGACTCACTCACACAGAGAGACACAGACTCACTCACACAGAGAGACACAGACTCACTCACACAGAGAGACACACTCACACAGAGAGACACACAGAATCACTCACACAGAGAAACACAGACTCACTCACACAGAGAGACACAGACTCACTCACACAGAGAGACACAAACTCACTCACACAGAGAGACACAGACTCACTCACACAGAGATACACACAGACTCACTCACACAGAGAGACACAGACTCACTCACACAGAGAGACACAGACTCACTCACACAGAGAGACACAGACTCACTCACACAGAGAGACACAGACTCACTCACACAGAGATACACACAGACTCACTCACACAGAGAGACACAGACTCACTCACACAGAGAGACACAGACTCACTCACACAGAGATACACACAGACTCACTCACACAGAGAGACACATACTCACACAGAGATACACAGACTCACTCACACAGAGAGACACAGACTCACTCACACAGAGAGACACAGATTCACTCACACAGAGAGACACAGACTCACACAGAGAAACACAGACTCACACACACAGAGAGACATACAGACTCACTCACACAGAGAGACACAGACTCACTCACACACAGAGACACACAGACTCACTCACACAGAGAGACACAGACTCACTCACACAGAGACACAGACTCACACACACAGAGAGACACAGACTCACTCACACAAAGAGACACAGACTCACTAACACAGAGAGACACAGTCTCACTCACACAGAGAGACACAGACTCACTCACACAAAGATACACAGACTCACTCACACAGAGAGACACAGACTCACTCACACAGAGAGACACAGACTCACTCACACAGAGAGACACACAGACTCACTCACACAGAGAGACACAGATTCACTAACACAGAGAGACACGGACTCACTCACACAGAGAGACACAGACTCACTCACACAGAGAGACACAAAGACTCACTCACACAGAGAGACACAGACTCACTCTCACAGAGAGACATAGACTCACTCATACAGAGAGCCACAGACTCACTCACACAGAGAGACACAGACTCACTCACACAGAGAGACACAGACTCACTCTCACAGAGAGACATAGACTCACTCACACAGAGAGACACAGACTCACTCACACAGAGAGACATAGACTCACTCACACAGAGAGACACAGACTCACTCTCACAGAGAGACATAGACTCACTCACACAGAGAGACACAGACTCACTCACACAGAGAGACACAGACTCACTCACACAGAGATACACACAGACTCACTCACACAGAGAGACACAGACTCACTCACACACAGAGACATAAAGACTCACTCACACAGAGAGACACAGACTCACTCACACAGAGAGACACAGACTCACTCACACACAGAGACATAAAGACTCACTCACACAGAGAGACACAGACTCACTCACACAGAGAGACACAGACTCACTCACACAGAGAGACACACAGACTCACTCACACAGAGAGACACAGACTCACTCACACAGAGAGACACAGACTCACTCACACAGAGAGACACACAGACTCACACAGAGAGGCACACAGACTCACTCACACAGAGAGGCACACAGACTCACTCACACAGAGAGACACAGACTCACTCACACAGAGAGACAGAGACTCACTCACACAGAGACACAGACTCACTCACACAGAGAGACACAGACTCACTCTCACAGAGATACACAGACTGACTCACACAGAGAGACACAGTCT